TGAGCGAGCCTGGCGCTCCCACGGGCTCCCCACACCCCACTGCACAAACGCTCTGGTCCAAAAGGGACCTTTGTGCCCCCATCTGATGCGTGCCCTGCTCACCGATTCCTGCACCGGGGCCCTGGCGTCCAGGTCCGTGCTCGCAGCGGTGGCAGCACGGGGCAGGAGAGGCGAATGGCCACTGATGGGCGGGTCTTGGTGCAGCTGCTCAGCCCACGGGACACCCAGGGCAGGGTTCAGGCCTGGGGATGGCGTCTGGGCGCCGATGGAGGAGACAGCGGAACGGGCACTGCTGGCAGCAGGAGGCGAGGAGGCAGCAGCAGGAGCTGGGGGACCTGCAGGAGCCAAGGTGGTTCGTGAGCGGGGACATCAGGGGAAAAGCCAAGAAGGCAGAGGAGAAGCACGGGGCCAAGGCAGCCCCTTGCACGCCCCTGCTCTGCCCCACATTGGTCAAGCCCACAGCACCCCTTCATTCACCTTTCCCTTTCCCCTCCAGGTGAGAAACCCAGCCCATCACCAACTCCAGCACCTTTGACCCTGTCAGCCCTGGGCACATCACCCAGGCAAGGGACATCCCTGGGGATGGTCACAGACACCCCCAGGCCCTGAGGAAGCCGGGGCAGGGAGAGAGGCCAGCTGATCGGTGGACACCAGGAGACATGGTTCAGGTCCCTGTCTCCACCAGACCCCCCAGAGCAGCACCCAGGGATGATGCCAGGAGTCATATATGTGCTGCAGCTCGTCAGCCAGGTGCGCTGCGTTGTTCTGGCGCAGTGCGTCAATGAGATCTGCCACCCAGCCCTGCCGGCACTTCAGGTACTGGTAAAACCTATAGACAGTTGCCTGGCTCCCCCGCGTTTCCTCCCGGGTGTGAAGTTCATCCTAAATAAAACACACAGCTGATCTAACAGAGGGCTTGGCTTAGAGCTAAGGCAGCTATACGTTGCCTGAGCTATACATTGGACAAGGAGCCCGGCAGGACTCGGGAAAGCAGGGAATTACTCTGTCAGCATCGGTCAGGCAGCTCAGGGAATCGGCCAGCGACGCCACACGGATGTTCTTGAAATTCTTGAAGTTTTTCAAAATGTAGTCATACACTTTGTCTTCGGCAAAACCCATCCTGGCTCAGCACCTGCCGAGAGAGAGACTTAACGTGAGCTGCTGGTAATGCTCGGCTTTTCTATAGGAGCTTGGGCTTTTCTGTAGGAGCCTGGTCCCTTGGCGCAGGCGTTCAACCTCGTGGCAGCGGCGATGGGCGCAGGGGGAAATCCCAGGCGGAAAACTCGCAAAGAAAAGAACAACAAAAAAAACTTGGCTTAAAGTTCAACTCTCGAGCCGAGAGAGAGACTTAACGTGAGCTGCTGGTAATGCTCGGCTTTTCTATAGGAGCTTGGGCTTTTCTGTAGGAGCCTGGTCCCTTGGCGCAGGCGTTCAACCTCGTGGCAGCGGCGATGGGCGCAGGGGGAAATCCCAGGCGGAAAACTCGCAAAGAAAAGAACAACAAAAAAAACTTGGCTTAAAGTTCAACTCTCGATCGGGTGGATCCCAGCCCAG